GTATTTTAAAATACACTTTATAAAATCCCTGCTGCTTTCTTGGTCTTTCTTTCCCCTTTGCAACAAAGATCATAACAAATACTTCAAAGGATTAAAAATTTGGATGAAAATTTGTACTGGCTGTTACCTGTGCAAGACAGCGTTATTTCTTGTTCATAAAAACCAAGATTTAACAGAATCTCAAAACTACAGAATTTTATAGTAAGGTAACCACAGCACACACAGAAAGCTATTGTCATAATGAAACTAACAATATATTCATAAATTGCTTATAATTAGAATATCTTCTCACCAAATTCACCATTGGTTTCAGTGTTGGGGAAGGTTTCTTCTGGCTGCTCGGTCTCCATTTTCTTGAATTAAATGGATACACCAACCTGTAGAAAAATAAAGAAGCTAGTACATTTGGCTTATTGGAAAAAGGAAAACACTATTTTGCTTAAAATCTTTAAAAGGGACCGTGCTTCCAGAACACACACACAGCTTTGCAGCGCTGAACTGACACCGCAGAGCTGCAGCAGCCTATAAAAACCAACACAAATCAACTGTGCTTTTCCTTTTATTATTCAATACTAATATTGGGGTCGCAAGTCTGATTTGAGGAAGCGGGCTGATCCTCCTACTCTAAAAAATTCAGGCGAGGAACAAGTGTGGTGGATTGCTTTTGGATTGTCTCAATGAAACACAACAGCTCAACTCACTACCCTGAAATGAAGGATTTCCCCCAAGGAATTCAGTAATCGCGTCCTCAACAACTTCATATTATTACAACTGGAAAGTCAACTGTCCTAAGATTTTGTTCACAAAACTAATTCTGGGAAAGACTGCACCGTAGCACAAAATTAGTGTTATTGTAAGACCAGTAAGTAACTGAAATTATTGTGGCTGTTTGCGAATGTCAAAACCATTTCAATGACATTTGCCAAGTTTACAAATATAACGGCAAATACAAGCTGCTTTTAACGTCCACCGGGAGCAATCTAAAGCCCTGACCAGACAGACTCAAACCAGCGCCATTCTCCAGCAAAGCCAGCGGAGCCTTCAACCACCACCACTCACTACGATTGTAAACGGTGCTTTAAAAAGGCTACAATTCCCAACAATTTCACCTCTAATACAGCTCTTAAAGACTGCAGCCAAAGCGACACAATTGGTCCGGTCCTCTCGTGGCCATACCACGCGAACAGCCAAGCACAACAAAGCTGAGGCCGAATCCCACTTTACGCCTCCTCCACCCCCGAGCGCCGGCTGCTAGGGTCGCTAAGGGCGGCTCGGGGACCCGCCGCTCGGCTCGCTTTGCAGCCACGACGGCAAATAGATGCCGGCGCGGACGACAGCAGGGTCGACCGAGGAGAGTCGAGCCCACGTCCCCGAAAGCCGCTCGCTCGAGCGGGATCGGCCGCGCGGAAGCTCGCGCCGTCCCCCTGCCCACTGCCCGCCCCGGCCCTCCCCTCCCGGGCTCGGCCGGTGGCCTAGCGGAGCAGCGCCCGCCTCCCTCCCTCCCTCTCCTCACCCGGATCCGACAGGAAATGGCGGCCCGCGTAATGGCGACTACGTGCGACTAGGCGGCGCCGCGCGCGCGAGACCCCCTCCCCCACCCACCCAGCACGCGGGCCCGCGAGCTCGGCCCCCGCACCTCCCCCCACCGCCCGCCCGCTCGCCCGAGACAAAGCGGCGGCTCCCGTTCCATCGGGGTCCCGGCCGAGGAGGGACTCCCGCATCCCCGCGCTGCTCCCACCCCGGACGCCCCTCGGCTCCGACCCCCGGGCCTCCGCTCACGAGATCCCCAGAGTCTCCGGCGGCAGCAGCAGCGGCGCGCACGCCAACTGCAGAGGCACGCTCGGGGAAATGGCGGCCGTGGGGGAGGGGAGCCCGGGCAACGTTCCCCGGCGGGCGGGGGACCGAGCGCCGGCCCGAACCCTCACGGACAGCCGCGCCGCAGCTCCGGCCCCGCTCCCCGCCGCGCGCGCCGCTCGCCCGGCCCCCGGGGCTCACCGCGCCGAGTCCGCCGTTGCCTCCCGGCCGCAGCAACGCGCCGCCTCCGACGGTCGGTCCCTGCTCCAGACAGAGGCCGAGGACCCACCCCCTCCCGCCTCGGCGCCGCGCCCCATTGGCTGCCCGGGCGTCGGCGGTGGCGCGAGCGCGCGGCGATTGGCCCCCGGCCGCGTCAATGACGGCGCCCAGAACCCCGCCTCCCGCCGGCGACTCCCTTCGGGCTGGCAGGCCGCGGGGCCTGGGACAACCCACCCGGGCCGGGACGCCCGCCCGAGCCGCTCGCCGTCCCGCGGCGCCCGCCCGTTCCCCGGACCCGCCGCTTCCCCACGGCCCCGTCCCCTCCGACACCTACGTGAGGGGCCACAGGCGAGCGGGAGGCGAGCACGACGGCGACGTCCGTGCAGCGGAGGCACAGAGGATAATGGCGTCTGCAGCGCTGTCGCCCAGAGCGCCCTCCTCTCTCGTTCGCGCACTCTGTCGCTGGGGGGGGGGGGGGGGGGGGGGGGGCGCGCGGGGAGGGGAGGGAAATGGGAGGCGGGGGGGGGGGGGGGGGAACGACGGCGCTCTCGCGAGATTTGCCACGGGCGCTCACGTGTGCCGCGGAGGGGGCGGTGCCTGGGCGTTTGCGAGCCCCGAGGGGGTGGCTGCGGGTCTGGAGGAGGGACGGCCGCGCGCCGCGCGGTAGGAAGTGGAAGCGGGGAGGGGAAAGAGCCCGCTAACGGGAGAGGGAGCGCGCGGCGGTGCCTCGCCGGGCCGGGGAGCCCACGGTTGTGGCGACACGAGGCGGGATGGCCAGGTCGGTGATCGGCCGGGGTTCCACAGCTCCCCGTCGCGGCTCGCTCGCTCCCAACGCCGCGGGTCTGTGCGCCCCTCCGCCGGGCCCGGGAAACCCGCTGTGCTAACGGCCGGGTCCGGGCGGAAGGGCGGGCGGACGCCGCGGCCCGGGAGGGGTCGGCCTGGCGAGGCCTTCTGGTCGCTGTAACTGACCCAAGTCACTTTCGCCTTGGCCCCGTAAAATGCAGAGCGCAGAACACGACGTAGGCTCCCGCGCGTCGGGGCAGCACTCCTTCCCCCGCAGGAAGCTCGCAGGCGGTGTGGCCGCCCGACCTGGGGAAGAGCCGGCTTCGGTAGTTCCCTCCGTTCTCACCCACTGCTTCAGACTCTTGCTGGGACGGCAAGATGTTGGTCTCTGGAAGCTAATCAGTGAGGCTTCCGTGCTGGTCCACCCGTGTCCTGACCCTTGAATGATCTCAGGATATCTATGCCTGCATCCTTCTAAGGATCGCTATTTATGGTCGTTGCGTTATCTTTTATTTCCTTGGCAGAGGTAAACTGGGAATTGAGGATTTGGTGAGGCTTGAAGTGCGGGTGGACGTAAGAAAGGTTTTGAGATAGCCTATGTAGCTCTGTCTGCGACGGAATTTATTACATAGACGAGCCTGGCTTCGAACTCACAGATATACTCCTGCCCCTGCCTCTCAGATGCAGAGATTAAAGGTGTGTGCCGCCACACCTGACCCACAACTTTTAATTTTTTTTTTTTTTTTTTTGAGACAGGGTCTCACTCTGTAACTCATAAAGATCCTCCTGTCTCTGCCTCCCAAGGGCTGGGATTAAAGGCATACTCACAACACCCAGCTAAAATTAGTACTATCTTGAGTAGACACTAGTGGAAAGTTACTTTCTCCAAACTCAGCTATATTCATTTGGTTTTGTCTTTTTAGGTTTCCTCTTTGCGTAACTGAAAGTTTGCCTTGCCTCCATCTTTCATTTTCTCTTTGAAGTTGGACGTTTTCAGTTCATTATTAAAACCCCTGCTCAGGACTGGATATACGGCTCGGTGGCATGGCCCTGGCTTTGCGCACTGTGCCAGTCCTCTTCATTTAGTGACACCCGGGTACATGAGGGGTTAATGGTTAAATTGTGTAGGCTAATGTTTTAGAGCCCTTACTTAACTGGGATTTAATATAATTGTAACTGTACAGGAGCTAGCTGGAATAATATTTAAAATACTATAGGTACCATATCCCGAGTTCTCTACTGAATGCCAGACTTTGTGCTGGCAGTTAAATGCTATTACAGTACTTTGAGTAAGTTGTGGTTATCTTTGTTTCATGGGTGTGGTTGTTCCTGGTCTTTAATCCTAGCATTAGAGATGCAGAAACTGGTGGATTTGTGAGTTCCAGGTCAGCCAAGGGCTGTCTCAAGAAACAAAACAAACACTAAAAACCTGGAGGGGGGGGGGGATGGGGATGGGGGGGGGATGATTGGGACCAGTGGGCTTGTGGTTCCTGCTGAGGCCTTGCTTGATGATGTAAATTCTGTCACTGGAAGGCTTGTGGTGGAAGGAGAGGGCCAACTCTCAATCGTCTCTAATCTCCACGTGAATGTACACACACACACACACACACACACACACACACACACACACACAACGTAAAAAGGATAAGAACCATATCCAAGGCCACATAACAGCTGGGTTGTAGACTCCTAAATGGAATTTTCTTTCATGTTTCCTTATATTGGGTTTTGGAGGATGCACAGACAGCTCTTACTGTTCTTTATGTCAACCATAATATAACATCCCCCACCCCCACCCCAGACACGTTTTTTCTGTGTAACAGTCCTGGCTGTCCTTGAACTCACTCTGTAGACCTGGCTGCCTCTGCCTCCTGAGTGCTGGGATTAAAGGCGTGCGCCACGGCCCGGCTCAAGTTTTATTTTTTAAATAATACCCGTAAAGTGGATGTAGATTTTTTTGTTGGTGCTTTAGAATCTCAGCTATTGGTTGGGAGTCACATATACCATCTAGGGATGCTGCTTTCCTGTTAAAAATATTTGAAGCTGACTGAAAATTAATCATTGAGCCAGCTATGCCTAAGCCTTAGTGTAATGGAACCTTCCTGTTTTATTCTCTTCTGATCATTCCTAGTAGTTGGGATTTAGAATGAAGATTTGCACGGACATCCAAATCTATCAGGCACGAAGGTTAATGCAAATATTTTTTTTTCTTACTGTAAAAGCAGGGAGGGTTAAGTTCTGTAATTTTGTATGTGGCTACTATACTAAGAAAACATGAACACATATTTTCATGTCGTGAAGTAGTCCCTAAAAACCTCTTCAAAGCTGGGGATGGTGGCGCACACCTTAATTCCAGCATTTGGAAGGCAGAGACAGATGGATCTCCAAGTTTGAGGCCAGCCCGGTCTACAAAGTGAGTTCCAGAATAGCTAGGGCACTTATACAGAGAACCTTGTCTAAAAAAAAGAAAAGAAAGGGTTTGGAGTTTCAGAGCATCTAATGCTCTTCCAGAGGACTGGAGTTTAACTCAACTCCAGGGATCTGACACCTCGCCTCTTTGGCACCTGCACTCGTGCATATGCCCAGGCATACTCAACATTTTTAAAAATCTAAGATTACACAGCTTTCTATTTCATGAACATGATGCAGATTTTTTTCTAGATAACATTCAGAATCCCTCTAATATAAAAACATGAACATTGACATGATTGTTTTCATATCTTTTTTCTTTTTCCTCTAGTCTTCCCTTTTCCCCTTTAGTAAGTCCTAGAGATTGAACCCAGGGACCCAGAGCTAGCTATACCTTGTTCTTGCCTTTATCTTTATTTCTAACTGGGTGTGTTTTCCTGTTTGTTTTTGGAAACAGGGTTTCTCTGTGTAACAGCCCTGGCTGCCCTGGAACACAGAAATCCACCTGCCTCTGCCTCCTGAATACTGGGATTAAAGGCGTGCGCCACCATGTTTGGCTTTGATTGTTCTAGAAAGTCAGAATGTGTGTTACAAGTTAACGTTCAGTTTAAGAGACATCTTTTCCAAAGTTGTTTCTCTTCCTGTATTGAGGGGTTCTTAAGACTCTGTGGTTGTTGTCTATCAGCTAATGGGAAATTGTGGCATCCTAGCTAGCCTTTCCTTCTGAGCTGTTACCTGCTGTGACTATGGTAATAGAATTCTATAGGAGTGGGAGTGTGTCTTACCAAAAGCAGATGGGGTCCTGGGCTAAACTATCTGCTATGCTTGCCTTCTTCAAGGTGGCTCGGCAGATCAGGGCACTGGCCACCCAGTTTGAAACCCTAGTTTTGTCCCCAGAACCCACCTGGTAGGAGAGAACCAACTCCTGCAAGTTGTGCAAATTTCTGCGTGGGTACCATGGTATAGATGCACTCCCTCCAGACACACAAATGATGGTAGTATGCTACAGTCTCCTCTGAACCGCTCCATCACACACTTCACTGATTTACTTTATTAATTCTCTTCTACCGTACTTTGACGACCCATTGGGTTTACAAATGAAATGAGGAAACAGGTCTAAAAAGAGTAACTTTCTCTCAACAGCTTGTTTCCGTTTATCTCACCCTATTCTCCCCTCCCCTTCCTGCAACACAGTGTTTCTCAGTGGAGTCCTGGATGTTCTGGAACTCACTTTGTAGACCAGGCTGGCCTTGAACTCACAGAGAGTCTCTGCTCATTTCTAGCCTATTATAATGTTTCCGTTTTACCTTGACTGTTAAGGAGTCCCCAGAACTACACAGTCATACTCTTAGATTCATGGAAATAGGACAATGAGTCTTTAATTCGTTTTCGAATCCTTACTGCTGCTTGTCTTTCCTTCCAGGGTCCTTTCTCTGTAATAGAGGCATTGAGTACTCCACTGGGCGCCTAGCTTGAAATCCTGTCATCAGAGTTCATGCTGTTCTGCGAAGTAAGTTTTCTTATGGACATGTTAGACCTTAAATAAGTTCTGTCTCTTTAGTGTCTTCATCTCTAGAAGGAACAGATATTGTGTGTGTGTGTGTGTGTGTGTGTGTGTGTGTGTGTGTGTGTGTGTGAGAGAGAGAGAGAGAGAGAGAGAGAGAGAGAGAGAGAGAGAGATTTGTCTTTAGCTTTAGTACTTTGCTATTGTATTATACTGAGAGGTTTATTTTTTGTTTGTTGTGTTTTGGTTTTTTTGGGACAGGGTTTCTTTGTGGCTTTGGAGCCTGGAACTCACTCTGTAGACCAGGCTGGCCTTGAACTCACAGAGATCCACCTGTCTCTACCTCCCAAGTGCTGGGATTAAGGGTGTGTACCACCACCACCCCTCTGAGAAAATCAGATTTAAATATTATTGACAACACAGTTGAGAATATTTAGGAAAACAAGACTTCTCAATATCTGCCCAGAGAGGTAGGTGGCCAACCATAGATATATAAATTTTAATTGTTAAAGTACGAAGTTAATTATAGCTTTCAAAAGAACCTAGTGAACATTATTTAAGTAAAATTTAAATTAATAGAGTACGATTATTTGGAGGATCATGATGGCCTTAATGACCACTGCAACCCGAGCGTCAGGCTCCAGGTCTCGGCAGTGACTGAGGCAGCTGAAGCTTCGGCCAGGGCCTTGATTTCTCCCTAGCATGAGAGCTCTGGTGCCTCTGCAGCCTGGTGAGGTGAGAGCGGGGCTGGCAGGCCCCGTGACTTAGATCATCCTGCATGCTGGGAAGTGATAGATGGCGGAGACACAAAAGATGTGCGCTGCAGTGAGGGGCACAGGAGGTGTGGAAGGCAGTTGCTGTTCTTGTTCCTTGGGAAAAGGTGAAATACACAGCTCATCACACGAGTCAGCGACAGACACAAGCACAAGTCGGCCTGCGAGTTTTCCCTTGAGAAAACCGACCACCATATGAGTTACCATGACTCCCAGAGCCATGTCCTAGCCTAGGAGGAAGAGAAGTGCCTGCAGAATGGAGACCCATTTGACTGGACGTGTCCTGCTGGGACTTCTCATCATTGGTTGTGGTGGTTCAGCTATGAGACTGGACAACTCTATATTGAATTACAGTTTTGCCGTGCTGTGTCTAACGTTTTCCAGAGATTTATTTTCTTTGGAAGCTTTGGGTTGGACGAACACTTGAAGACACACATAGGCTCCACCTACCACCATGCAGAGTAGGCAGGAACACACCTAAAGACCCCACCCAACAAGGATTGCCTGTGGCACAAGCCACTACTGTGTACCAATACGGGATGGAGAGATGGGAAAGAAAGAAGCTGAACAGCTTGAGCACTGTAAAGAGAGGCGGATCTGGAGAGGGGTGGAGAGGAACAGCCTGATGTGAGTGAGTAGCCTGTGAGGCCACCTGAGGCCGTGAAGAATTCCTGGCCCATGCTGCCATTGAGGGACAGATTGCCAAGAGGCAAAGGCTGTCCTCACTGAGAGCTTCTCCTTCTGAGTCCAGTCAAAAATAAGTCTATAAGGGTAACAAATAAATGATCAGACCTTGGGGGAAAAACGGGGAGGAGGGGGTGATAAAAAATGAATCTGATTCTAATTTTGAGACGATAATAAGATATAGTAATGACTGTCTTTCAAAGATCTGACATTTACCCTTTCTTTCGCATATCAATCTTTGAACAACCGTGTAAGACAGTTGGTGATACTGATGAAAATACTGAGTCAGAGAAGTTAAAGTACTGGCCTTAGGTCATGTAGCCTTTACCTTGACAAAGCTAGCTCAAACATTTTGTTTTTCCTCATTCTTAGTACTTGTAAGGTTTGCTTATTGACTGGGTAGAAAGTCAAGTAGTTTTTAGCGCTGGAGAGAAAGGTGTGAACGGTGTGGTAAGTAATTAGGCCTGCCTGTGGATTTGAGAGGTAGAGGTGCTGTATTTAAGTCTAGGGAATCAAGTGGACATAGATGTTCTTGTTTAAAAGAAACAAATGTAACTTTAAGTTTATTGAATCTCTTTTCTATTTGTTTTCAGGTGGATGTGTATGCTCCTATTTTAAAAAATGAGTTTAACTAGTGATGTATTAAGAGTTGAAACCTGGCTTTTGGCAACATGGCATGTTAAAGTGCCTCTAATGTGGCTGGAAGCTTGTGTTAATTGGATCCAAGAAGAAAATAATAATGTTAATTTGAACCAAGCACAAATAAACAAACAGGTGTTGGAGCAATGGCTTCTTACTGACCTGAGAGACTTGGAATATCCTCTCTTACCTGATAACATTTTAGAAATTCCAAAGGGAGAACTGAATGGATTTTATGCTCTACAGATCAATTCTTTGGTTGATGTAAGTCAGCCCGCGTATTCCCAGATACAAAAGCTGAGAGGAAAGAATACAACCAATGATCTAGTTTCAGCTGAAACACAGATTACTCCAAAACCATGGGAAGCAAGGCCTTCCCGGATGCTGATGCTACAGCTCACGGATGGTGTCACTCAAATTCAAGGGATGGAGTATCAGTCTATTCCAGCTCTCCATGGTGGTCTTCCTCCAGGTACAAAAATTTTGGTTCATGGACGCATTTCATTCCGTCTTGGTGTTCTCTTGTTGAAACCAGAAAATGTGAAGGTGTTAGGGGGTGAGGTAGATGGTCTTTCAGAAGAATATGCTCAAGAGAAAGTACTTGCAAGATTAATTGGTGAACTTGATCCTACAGTTTCAGTTGTACCAAGTAATTCTGATCACAGTTTGCCTAGAGTTTCAGGGGGGTTGGATGCTGTTTCAGGACCTTCAGATGAAGAACTCCTGGCAAGTCTCTATGAAAGTGAAGAGCCTGCAGCAAGCAATGATACATCACCCATGGAAGGAAGCTGTTTCAGCACAGGCAGCTCCTCAACTCCCACTCCCACAATTCAGTCTAGTTTTGAGCCCAGATGTAATATTTCTTCAAAGCACAAGGAGAAGCCAAACCAATCTGTGCATTTCAGTAGTGGAGAGTTTGATGACTTCTCACTGGAAGAGGCCTTGCTTTTAGAGGAAACTGTCCAGAAAGAGCGGATGGAAACAAACGCATTACAACCATTAACTGTGAAGAAAAACACAGATAAATGTGTAGAGATATTTTCACATAATCCTAATACTCTGAACCACACTCCTTTGATGAATAAACAAGGAAACAGCAATTGCAATGAAAAAAAATTATCTGAACAAATAGTTCACAAAGACAAATTTTTTAGCTGCCCATCTCCGGGAGACCATAAGAGACTCTTAGCCCATGATTTTACAGATAACAATAAGACTTTGGAAGACAGTAATACAACAAAACAAAACATTGACAGTTCAGATGAACATTGCTCCAGTAATAAAATGTTAAACAGAAAACTAGGAACCTGTCTATCAGAAAAGAGTTCAGAGGTTTCTAATGAAAATGGCTCTCCTTTACAGGCTCAGTCTTCAAGATCAGTTGAGAATAATACTGATCTCTCTATTGACATGGACTTACATTCTCCACCCTTTATCTATTTGTCTGTTCTAATGGCCAGGAAGCCAAAGGAAGTCACCACTGTGACAGTCAAAGCATTTATTGTCACTTTGACTGGGAATCTCTCAAGCTCCGGTGGCTGCTGGTGTGTAACTGCAAAGGTTTCTGATGGCACCGCCTATCTAGATGTGGACTTTATAGATGAAATACTTACCAGTATGATAGGCTTTTCAGTACCAGAAATGAAGCAATTAAAAAAAGACCCTCTGAAATATCAAAACTTCCTAAAAGGGTTACAAAAATGTCAGCGAGATCTGATAGATTTGTGTTGCCTAATGACTATTTTATTTGATCCTTCTTCACATAAAGCCTTGGTGCTTGAATTACAAGATGTTGGTGTGGAGCACCTTGAGAACCTAAAGAAGCGGCTGCATAAATAATTTGACGAAATACTATTGGAGTACACTTTAAAACATGCAAATATTTGTTCGTATTATTTTTGAAACTCTGTAAAGGAAGGAAAAGCTTTTGAGCTTAAAAATGGGTGAGATGGCTGAGTGGTTAAACAGGCTTCTGCCAAGTCTGAGGACCTGAGCTTGATCCCTTGGTCCCTTGTGGCTGAAGGAGAGAAACAACTCCCAAAATCTGTTGTCTGTCCTTCACACATGCAGCATAGAGCTTGTGCACACATAAAAACACATATACACTAAATGACATTTAAAAATAAAGATATCTAATCAAAATGAATGTGAAGGGTATTTTTGTTTGATTTGATAATGATGGGTCAGGACCTTGTAATGCAAGCAAGCCTCTATCATGAAGCCTAATCTCTAGACCCTTAATTTCCCCCCTTTCCTGGAAAGGATCTACATTCCCAGGCTGGCCTCAAGCTCTCTTGTACAGCTGAGAGTGATCTTGAGCTTCTGATCTTTGTCTCCATCTCCCAAGTGCCTGGATTAGGGTTCTTCGGTTTCAGTTGGTGCACTAGTTTAAACCATGACTGTGCTAGACCAATGCTCTACTGACTGAGCTAATCCCCAGTCACCCATGTTGAAGAACTTTGCTGACTCATTCTTGCTGAGAAACTGGCTTTCTACTTGCTGAATATGAGATAATGGGTAAAGAACTGTGATGGGCTGACCGAATGGCTTGGTGGTAAAGGCTGTTACTGCTGAGCCTAATGACCCGATTCTTCTCTTGGTCCTACATGGTGAAAGAACTGTCTCCCACAAGATGTCCTCTGATTTCCACATGTGCTCCCCTTCCCCGTATGCACAAGGAATTAAAATGTTCCCCAATGAGATACATTATTGAAAGTTGCAAATTGTAAAAGTAATTTTCCCCTAATATGTTCAGTATTTCAAAGGTTTGTGCTGTTATTTAGGAGTCTTTATATTACTGTCTGTGTATGGTTCAGAGGACAACCTGTGAGTTGCTTTTCTCATGCCATGCAGATTGTAGAAACAGTCATCAGGCTTGGCAGCAGCTGCTTTCTTACTGGACCATACGACTGCCCTATGGTTTTTGAGATGGCATCTCACTGTGTACCCCAGGGTAGTCTCAAATTCATGAGGCTTCTAGTCCTCTGAACTAGCTGTGCATATAAGTTGTTTAATTTTATTATGGCTGTTTGAAAAAGACCACACTCACTTTGCTATTACAAGATTATGTTTGGGAGGTGAAGTTATTTTAATCTCTCTTAAAATTATAAATGGGGTGCTAGAGAGATTTCTTAGTGGTTAAGAACTGACTGCTGCCCTTCTAGAAAACCCAAGTTTGGGTCCCAAGATGAGCTGCTGACCTGCTAGTTGTGGGGGCCAGCCATAAGCTGAGTATGGGCAGGTCACCCAAAGGAAGTTCTTTACTTCCAACCATTATCACCTGCCAGTGTAGAACTCTGGGCATCAATAAATTTAAATGGAGGCCCGAGTCTCAGTAGTTTACCCTGAGGCAATGCCTGGTTGCTGGAGGAACCACAAGCTGAGATTACCCAAGCTCCACCCAAGAACAGACCATTCAAAGGAAATGCATAGCATTCCAACTGCTGTAGATAGGATCGCCTGCCAGCACACCTCACCAAGTGTCAGCCAATCAGGTTTCCTAAACCTCAGAAACCCCTCACTTCCACCTTTACTACTATAAAAACCCAATTCTAACTGAGCTCAGGACTCTGTTTATTCCAATACATTGGATATGCGGAGAGACCCAGTTTGCAAACTTGATTAAAATAAAGGCTCTTTGCTTTTACATACGGGACTTGGTCTCCTTGTTGGCTTTTGCTGGGACTTGGCAGATTTGGGCATAACACTAGTAAACCCATCTCCAGTGGATTTGACACCCTCTTCTGGCTTTCCCTGGTGTGGCTGTGTGCATAGTGGATACACACACATAATTTTAAAAAATTTTGAGACAATTTCTCTGTGTAGTCCTGGCTATCCTAGAACTTGCTCTGTAGACTAGTCTGGCCTCAAACTTGGAGATTCACCTGCCTCTAGGATTAAAGATGTGAGCCACCATGCCTGATTTCATAATTGAGAAAAACGAGGTAAGAGGATCAAGAATCAAAAGTTGGTTATTCTTGGCTACATAGAGGCCTGCTTGGACCACATGAGACTTACCTAAAAAAAAAAAAAAATTGAATAAAAAGATGTAAAAATGTTTTTCATTGAAAAAAAAACAGTTCAAAGCACAAGAATACAAATAATAAGTTGTGATATTTCATTTGTATTTTAATAAATAAAGCTTGCCTGAGGATCAGAGAGTAAAACAGTTGCCCTAGTCAGCCTTACAGACCAGCCACAATAACATACACCTTTAGTCCCAGTAGCCACACTAGTTTACCTTACAAACCATGCAATAGTGGTGCACGCCTTTAATCCCAGCCCTAGAGAGGAGACAGGTCTCACAGTCTCATTCTGATATTCCTGGAGGCAGGATCGCCATTTCAGACTGAGGTAAAGGTAAGAGCCAGTGGCTGGCTGTTTTGCTTTCCTGACCTTCAGATTGAACCCCAATATCTGTCTTTGGGTTTTTATTAATCATGCTACAGTAAGTATTTTTAACACATGTGTCTTCCATGTGTTTATGTGCATACAGAGACCTGAAAAGGGCATCAAATCACCTGGAGCTGGAGTTGTAGGTGTCTGTGAGCTGCCCAGTGTGGGTGCCTGGAACTGAATTTAGGTCCTCTGGAAGAGCAGCAAGTACTCTTAACCACTGAGCCTTCTCTCCAGTTCCAAGAATACCAGATACTGTTGATACATACTCTCATAGTACTCGTCTGTATACTTAAGTATCTTTATGAGATCTAAGTAGTGTGTGTGTGTGTGTGACATTTTCTTTTAAATAACTGTGGATTGTGATGGCTATTCTTGGGTGTCAACTTGACTACATCTGAAACGAACTGCAATCCAGAAATGGTGAGCGATTGCTTTTGCTTAGTTTGAAGTGGGTGAAACCACTTCTAGTCTGGTAGGAATACTTAGACCTTTGATCCAGATTTTGAGATGGGAAGACACGCCTTTAATCTGGGCCACGCCTTCTGCTACAAGTCTATATAAGGACGTGGAAGAAGGAAGCCTTTGCTTTATTTATTTATTTATTTTTGATTTTTCAAGACAGGGTTTCTCTGTAGCTTTGGAGCCTGTCCTGGAACTAGCTCTTGTAGACCAGGCTGGCCTCGAACTCCCAGAGATCCTCCTGCCTCTGCCTCCCGAGTGCTGGGATTAAAGGCGTGTGCCACCACTGCCCAGCAGCCTTTGCTTTTTGCTTTTTGTTGATTTGCCCTTGCCTTATTAACATCCATTTCTTCACTGGCATTGGAGCCTACTTCTTTGGGATTCCAGCTTATACTGAAGGCCAGGCAAAACATTCAGCCTTATGGACCAATCAACTACTGGAGCTTTGGACTTAATGTTCACAGCAAGCCATTGTTGGATTTGCTGGAGTACAGCCTGTAAATGATTCAATAAGCCTCCTTTATATAGAGAGAAACTCATTCTGTGAGTTCTGTACTCTAGAGAACCCTGATTAATACATAGATGGTGCATAAAAATAGATCTTCATATTGCATCACTGAATAGAAGTATGAGCTGGGCAGTGGTGATCTCTGTGAGTTCGAGGCCAGCCTGGGCTACAAGAGCTATTTCCAGGACAGGAACCAAAAAGCTACGGAGAAACCCTGTCTCGGAAAAAAAAAAAAAAAGAAGTATGAGTTCATTGTTCTATATTCATTTCTGGTGTTTGAATTGGGGCTCTTTAGAGGATCAGAACCAATAGAATGAATATATATTACACAAAGAATTTATGCAATTGGATTAAACCATGTTGGCAGGGTAGTCCATCAGTGGTCATCTGCATACCAGGGAAAATGGGCACCAGGGTCAGTCTGGCTTGAAGAGGCTTGATGCCCCAGCTGTCCCTGTCTGATGCTAAAAACCTGAAGAATTCCTGGAGAGCTACTAGTCTTGTGTTGGAAGGTCACAAAAGATGGATGGGTTCCTATGTCAGCTAAGGATGGTGGCAGCAGCCTTGGGAAAGCTTTCTATCTGGGGGAGGGGCTTCCCTCAGTCCTTCCAGGAAATACTATTACAGATCAACCCAGAGGTGTGTCTTTTATTTGCTTCTAGGCCCAGTCACTTGGCAAACAAGATTACTGTGATTTGGTTTGTAATCTAAACTGTTTTGGATTGTGTTTAGTGGTTTATTAGTTGGTCTTTATTTTGTTGTCAAACCATTCTTTGTAGGGTTGCAAGAGTGCCCCTTTTTTCCCTTCCTGAGACAGGGTATCTCTGTGTATCCCTGACTGTCCTGGAACTCACTTTATACACCAGACTGGCCTCGAATTTGCAAAGATTTGCCTGCCTCTGCCTCCCAAGTGCTGGAATTAAAGGTGTGTGCCACCACCACCCAACTAATCTCTTCTATTAATTTTTTTCTTATATTTGACTATATTTTTCTGCCCCCAATTCCTCAGATCCTACCTACCTCCATACCTATCTGTCGTCTCTCTCCAAAAAGATAAAAAACACACACCAAAACCAAACAAATGTAAAAAAACCCATGGTGTCCATTTCATGTTGGCCAACAACTTTTGGGCATAGAGCCTACCCTGCAGTGTGTTTGATGCTCAGTTGGAGAAAACAGTTCCCTTTCCCAGCAGGTATCATTAGAGATGGGACTTTGTGTTCACTTTCCCTTCCTTGTGCTGAGATTGTACCATTTGAACCTGTGCAAATCTTGTGTGTGCTGCCACAGTCTTCAGTGAGTTCATACATGATCAGCTCTGCTGTGTCTGGAAGATGGTTTTTTGGTTGCCACTTGGTAACGATCTTTCTAATTTTCTACTTGTTTTCTCCTCCTTCACCTTTAATATCAATCTCTCACTATCCTCTTAAATACAAGGTAATGTCTGAACTCCTTACCCAATTAGTGATCTAGTCTGACTGCCTTTTTTTGTATCAACTTACCCCTTTCTTCCCGCCCTGAATTTGCCCCAGATTGTTGGTAGTTGTCCAAATCTGTACAGGTATGTTCCTCCTGCTGTAGGAAGACCCTCAGCTTCCTTCTAGTTGTGATATTGCTAAGTATGTCCTAGGGAAAATATCCCCATTTAAGTGCTGGTGCTTGCTGGGACATAAGCTGCTTGAGCTGTGGGGCTGAGCAATTGGCCTGTGTAAATGCACTGATGGTTTCATCAGACCAATAGTCTACCCCCGGCTCAATACCTGTCTTATTTGCTTTTCTTG